AATATGTTGAGCATTTATTTGATTTTCTTCCTTGTGACTCAGATGTTATTCAAAGTCACATCAAGTTGTTTTCTCTCTCATACTAAATGCCTTCTTTAGTTGTGTGGTATATTAAACAAATATCTCCTGCATATTTAATGTTTTTAATTCACACAAAGATTAAATCCATTGCTTATGTAATGAATGTATTAGACATTTACTTTTGAAAACATTGAGTTATTATGGCTTAGAAATTCCCCAGTGAACTCTAGACAAATATAAGTAGATATAATATCAAGGCTAGGAAACGGGAAGTTAGTAGAACTTGTCTAAACTGGATCAGCCATTGATTTGATTTTTTCTTTGTTTCATCTGTAAATGGCAATTAATTTTTATTATATTTTTAAAAAATGAATTCTTAATTGGTTAGTTGGTACCCCACTTGGTTATAACCACATGGAATTTTAGAATTTAGTTATTTGTGCAATGATGAAAAATGTCAAATAGTTTTTTTTAATTGTAGAGATAATTTCTCATTCTTTTATGGTTAGATCTGAAAGACTGATAGTTTCTGTATGGGACCTGTTAAAAGAGTGGATAAAGCTTGGAAACTGCTGTGTTGGAGGAGCTCTAGGCTGTCATGGATGTACCCAAGGACTGACGGATGTTGGAAGAACATTTATTTCAAGTTATAAGCGTGAGGGTAGGGGACCCCAACTAGCGTTGTCCCGAGGAGTAAGATCATAGCTCATCGTGAACCTCAGAATAAAGTCAAACTCCTTAATATGAAACACAAGGCCCTGTGTCACTTGGTTCCTGCTTACTGTTCTCAGTGCCCCAACAATGCTGACCTACAGGAATTTGCTTACTTGGTCTCTTTGTCTGGAACACTCTGTGCCTTTAAAATTTTTCACTCAGCCAATTCCCACTCATCTTTCTTGTATGTACATAAGTGCCTTTTCCTTTGTGAAAAGCTTTATACTCCTGCCCCTGCCAAACTGGGTTAGGTGCCCTTTCATTACGCTTCAATAGTGCTTTGTTTTTATCTCTTTATATACTAAATTATAATTAACAGATTACTTGTTCACACTTATAACCAGACTTTAGGATAGGGCAACCACTGTATTTTTCCTGCTATTGTAGTCTAGTATTTGACACATAATATGCACCTAATAAACATTTATTGAATGGGTGAATGTATAAATAAATACATGTCAGTGTAAAATAGTGATTTTTGTTTAGGTCCATTGATCTTGCCTTCTAGGGTATATTCAACAATGTCTGAAGATGTTTTTGACCGACAAGATTTGAGAGGGATAGTGATGTTAGTAACTAGTCAGTAGAGGCCACTGTAGGATGTAAACATCCTACAATGCATAACAAAGACTTGTCTGGTCCAAAATGTCGATAATGCCGAGATTGAGAAACCTAGCTATGAATAATACTATGTTCAGTGTAACATGTAATAGGCAATGTAAAGTTGTCCTCAGAAAAAAGTAGTAGAAAATATAGACAGTCAAAGTAGGTAAGTGGGAAGTTTGGAAGCAGTTTAAGACAAGGAACAAGAAGCGTGATTCAGCACCAAAGCCAAGGAGAGCAAGAGGCCTCAATCTTCCCTTGCTAGTAGTGGCCTATGTGGTAGAGTGAGTAGAGTAGTTCACAAAGTTCAGGCTGGGATGCGTTCTCTAATATATTTATTGTCCTTTTCTTATCACTTCTAGTTAATGCCTCTTTTATGTTGCCTTGACTTCCTCTTAATATCCATAAAATATTTCTGTCACTCAACTTTGAAGTTTAAAAAAATAATATTCTATTTGAACGTTATAGATTATCTACTGGGGATGAATACTGAAAATGAATACTTCATAATTCATAGGAGAAAGATGGAGGAAATAGAATCTAAAGTGCTTCTAATATGGGAAATGAGAAAACATTCAGTATTTAGACCTGTCTTAGAAATAGGTGTATATTATTTCATATCCTCTTCATAATATCTCTTTTGGATCACAGTTTACACATGATCAAGCATGGTAAGATAATTTTTTTTTCTACAGATACATCTAAAATCTAAATTTAAATCAAACCATCTTTCAAAATCATGTTCATTGTAACAAATGGTATTAATTAGTAAACAAGAAAATGTTTAAAATATTACATAAAGACAGATGATATCTAACTGGCTTTGTGATTTATGATTTATCCTGATTAGTAATCAGAATTGCTGTAGCTATGGAAACAAAGAGGAAAATTACTTCTGTCACCAATGAATATACAAAGATGAGAAATATTTTGCTTCTCTGAATAATCAGCACAGATGTTGCCTTTCTTGTTAACCTTGTGTTATTATTTTGCTAGCAAAGTCATGTGGGTGGGGAATGGAAATTGTAAGATTAAGAAAGTGGACTGAACTCCTGAAAGCCCACTTTCATAATGATGGTTATATACTATCAATTTTCTGAGAATTCTGAATTGCTTTCTGAATTAGGAAATAAAAGTGCTCCAACCGAGGTAGTTTTTAAGAGAAATCTATTACTTGACTTGAATATAATCACTTGTTGTGGTTCATATACAAATTTCTATATGTGAATGTTAATGGGAAAATCTCTGACTGAGGACATTGAAGAATAAAATTTACTAAGTAGGATTGAGACTCCCAAACTACACTTCATAAAAATAACATGCCATGAAGTTTTGAATGAAATGTTTTATGGGACACGTTGCTATCACAAGTCTAATTTTCATCAGGATCTCTAGAGTGATGAAATTTCCTGGAGATGTCAATTCTTTCCAGGTGATTGTTGCCAAATAGTAAAGATTAAATGGGATTTACATGAGAATTAAAGCTGAAATGCAATTCCTGGCACTTTATATTCAGTTCTTATTCTACTGAAGTTAAAACATTACTGTATTTCTCTATTTAGGTTCCAAAAGTTTTTGCTTTTTAAAAAATTTATACTTTAAGTTCTGGGTTACATGTGCAAAACGTGCAGGTTTGCTACATAGTTATATGTGTGCTATAGTGGTCTGCTACATCCATCATCCTGTCATCTACAGTAGGTATTTCTCCCAATGCTATCTCTCCCTTAGCCCCCCAGCCTCTGCTATCCCTCCTCGAGCCCCCCATCCCCTGACAGGCCTGGGTGTGTGATGTTCCCTTCCCTGTGTCCATGTGTTCTCATTGTTCAACTCCCACTTATGAGTGAGAACATGTGGTGTTTGGTTTTCTGTTCATGTGTTAGTTTGCTGAGAATGATGGTTTCCAGCTTCATCCATGTCCCTGCAAAGGACAAGAACTCATCCCTTTTTATGGCTGCACAGTATTCCATGGTGTATATGTGCCACAGTTTCTTTATCCAGTCTATCATTGATGATTGATGGGCATTGGGGTTGGTTCCAAGTCTTTGCTATTGTGAACAGTGCCGCAATAACATACACGTGCATGTGTCTTTATAGTAGAATGATTTATAATGCTTTGGGTATATACCCAGTGATGGGATTGCTGGGTCAAATGGTATTTCTATTTCTAGATCCTTGATGAATCCCCACACTGTCTTCCACAATGGTTGAACTAATTTACATTCCTACCAACAGTGTAAAAGTGTTCCTAGTTCTCTACATTCTCTCCAGCATCTGTTGTCTCCTGATTTTTTAATGATTGCCATTCTAACTGGCGTGAGATGACTGTGGTTTTGATTTGCATTTCTCTAATGACCAGAGATGATGAGTTTATTTTCATATGTTTGTTGGCTACATAAATGTCTCCTTTTGAGAAGTATCTGTTCATATCTTTTGCCCACTTTTGATGGGGTTGTTTTTTCTTGTAAATTTGTTTAAGTTCTTTGTAGATTCTAGATATTAGCCCTTTGTGAAATGGGTAGATTGCAAAATTTTTTTCCCCTTCTGTAGGTTGCCTGTTCATTCTGATTAAAAAAAAGTGGTACACATAAGAAGTATGCAAGTAAGAACCCCAAATCATTTTATTAGCAGAAAAAATGCCATAAGTCAGAGAAAACATGTAAATTACAAGAAAATCTAAATTGTGGTATTATAAACAGCAGATTTATTATAGTAACTTCCATGAGACAGCAATTTAGAATGTGCAAGGAGCATTTATTTACATTACCTCCTTAATTCTTATAACAACCCTATGAGGTAGACACAGAATTAGTACTCCACTTTACCAATGGGAAACTGAGGTTCAAATCACATAAATGACTTGTCCAAAATCATATAGCTAGTAAAAACCTAAATAAGAAGGCTTTGTGACAATGTCTCCCACTAAGTCTGTGCTAGGTAAATTCAAGGTTTTATCACTATGTGGTGAGCTGAAATTCTAATCTTCTATTCCTGATTCTAAGTCTAGAGCTCTTTTCACTTCATATGCTTCCTTTGATATTCCACTTCTTTTTAAAAAAGAAAAGTCCTTGGAGTTGTGTTGGCTGCTCTCTTAAGAAAGCACCAGTAGGAGAATTGCCATACTATTTCCTGGAGTATTGTGCCATGCATAGTGGCTGCTGTATAATAGCTGCTCAATAATTATTTGTTGAATGCATGAGGTAAATGAATAAGACACAGGCTATAAAATTGGCTGGCACCTTCTGTTTTATGTTACTCTTAAATAAATTGTTATTATCTAGTAAAAAACATTTTTTCTTTATAACATTTTTCAAAAAATCAAGGTTTATTGTTTGATTTTGTATATTTTTGTTTTTGTAGAACCAGCTCAAAAATAAAGCTTTTCTCCTATCACCTTTTACAGTGGATTGAATCTGTTCTGTTTCTGGAGCTAATGATTGGCTTGATTTTCCTCCTGTGCTCAAGGGAGCCTGAGGCAGTTGCTCTTGGGTGAGGAGAGAGGAGAGCCAATACCCTGGTGTAGCAAGGCTTTCTGCTGAGAGGTGAGCCTCAACTGCAAGTGCTGACAGTTGCTGGCAAGAGACTCCCATCACCCTAGGAGGGCAGAGTTCACTTTGGAGAAGTCTCTGACTCTTCCCTGGCACATCCTATCAATTCCCTTTTAGATCATCAGCATTGCACAGCTGTCTCAGACACTGGGGGCCTGAGAAGGTGATGACAGCAACCATCTGCCTCACGTACACACATCATCTCACATATGACTTACAGCACCATGTCCAAGTGAGTATTAATATCTTCTTTTTAAAGACAAGGAATCTGAGCCTTTAAGTTAAGTAATTTGCCTATAAAGTCAAAGAGATAGTCAATGGTAGAGCTAAAATTCAAACTGAAGTCTTTCTAAGTCCAACACTGCTGTGTTCTCCCTCTGCATCTCCTTGTGGCTCCTTGCAAGATCTCTAGAGCTACCTTTTTAACTAGTAAGAGAAAGTAGCATTGGCCAACTTTCCAAATGAGATCACATGGTATCTCTGTTTTCTTAACAGGAAATCAGAGATTGAAGGATTTGATAATATTGAATCTCTTGATAGGAATTGTTACCCAATTCTTGTTAACTTCGAGTTCCAAGTTTTAAATCATCTTAATTTCAACTTCTTCTGTGTAAAAATTTAATCACCACAATATGCTTACTCAGGCAGGTCTTCTGTGGAACACTTAATAGGTGATTTAAAATTCATGTGAAACATTGTATAATGAAGGCAAAGACCTGGCACTGATTGTGAATACAGTATAGCAGAAGTAGGTGACTGGTCTTTTGATATGAATAATGCAGAAAAAATTACACTGGCAAAAGTTAAACAGGTAAGGAAGTATTTATTCAAGACTATTTCAATAAGGGAGAGATGTTGAACTCAACTTCTCCAAAACAAAGGACTGGAGAGTTTTTTTTTTTTTTTTTGAGACAGAGTCTCGCTTTGTTGCCAGGTGCCAGGCTGGAGTGCAGTGGTGCGATCTCGGCTCACTGCAACCTCCACCTCCTTGGTTCAAGCGATTCTAGGGCTGGAGAGTTTTTAAGAGCCAGGGTGAAGAGAATCATAGGCCGCCTGTGTTTGCTAATTGGACGTACCCAAAGGAAAAGTAAACTTTCATATCTTCATGACAGGTGGCAGGTTTACAACTTAGAGTGAGGCATCCATGGATGATGATGATTGCATTTTGGAGGGATGGCTCCCAGCTCCTTGATAAAGGCATTTTGCTCTTACGTCTGCAGCTGAAGAAAGAAAAGCCAGATGTTTCTGATAAATAGTGACACAGATTTCTACAATATCTTTATATTAATTTTAGGTGGTCAGTTTACATATATTATTCTGATAATTTCCTCAATTATTGCATTTTCTGTGATTATAGATATATTGCTGTTCTCTTTCAATTCTTATTAAATGTGTAATAGCTGAATCATGTAATGTCAGCTATTGCAAAAAGGACAGCCTTTCTTATTAAAACAAAACCCAGAAACTCCATGGATTTTGCTATTTTGCTACTGGAAGGAGATCATTTTTGAAGAGGAGAGTGGGTAAACAAACAGCTGCTTCTTTGTTTTCCTGGATTTGTCTTTGTCTTGGGGTTCTTCTGTTCTAATCATTCCCACTATCAAACCATTCCTGGGGCTATGCTGTAGTTATTTTGAAGGTCTGATTCAAGCACAAAAAGGAACCCCATTTTTCAGTTCTTTTTCTATTACAATTAATGTAGCATAAAATATTCAAATATTAGCCAAACACAGAACCATAAAAATAAGGATACAAGGACAGAAAAATGTGAGAAACAAAAATGGTCAGACTTAACACAGGGTATGTCTCTGATCCTGTGGTAGGTAGTTATTTTCCAAGTCTCATAGGCTCTGTCTGCTAGCTTAATAATAAGTTTCTTGGAACTGGGTTTCTCCCTCTAATCTCGTCTCAAGCTTTCTCCTATATGTTCTGCGATATAGACCTTAGCCCCACTAGGGCACTCTCTTCCCTGCAGACATCTGAAATTTTGCATTTGTGCATCATTGTACAGGCTGTTCCCCTTGGCCAGAATGGCACCCTCCTGTCTCTTTTGTCCATATATCCTTACTCATTCCTGAGATCTCACTCACTGATCACTCCTTAGTGTTTTAGACACCCACAAAATTAATTCCTTTTGTGTTTCTGTAGTGCTTTTGATATAATTTAAAAATTTTAGTTTTACTGTATTATTTTTTAATCTGGTATCTATCCCCTTTGTTAGGCCTGGATTCCTTGGAAGTAGACTTCATTTTAATGACCATCTGCATATAGCATAGCAACTAGAACATATCAGATATTCGAAAGCTTTTTGTTAAATTATGTTGATCAATTTTGATGCTCTTTTGGAGAAGATACCCACATTTTCATGTCAACTGACAGAACTTTGAAGATTCTTGCCCAGTTCATTGCTTTAAAATTTCCAACTCCTTGGAAGTATCCCTGTAACCAGACATTTTGATCCTTGCCACCCTTGCATTTAGAATCTGGTCAGCCTCTAAAATGAAATCCTCAGGTGCAAGTTGCAGGTTAGGGTGGAGGGCAATTTGCTTTATTTTTAATATTAAACTAAATAATTTAAAATTCTACTACATAAAATGACACACTTTGGCATGTAATTTAATATTTCCTTACTGTCATTTTTAGTTTTACCTGGAGCAGTTGGTGAGTTTGCTTTAGTATTGTATTTTAAAAATGCATAGGATTTCTATTTTTCTTAGTATCTCAAGCCAGATAGCAAAACTATTCTGCCTCCTCCAGGTGATATAGAAGTGGGGGTTAATATGGAAGGTGCCCTCAACTGGATTCAGATCAGCTTACATTCTGGTTGAGTCTCTAGTGAATGCTCCAGATGCTAGCCATTATTTCACTGCCCTAAGCTTCTGTTTCCTCAGCTGTTTCTGTCCAGATAGAATATCAAAGGTTTTCCAAGTACAGTTTTTCTTTTTGGGTATTCTATACTAACTTGGTTCTGATTTCTCCATGTGATATTTTCTTTGATTTCTACATAACAGGGAAGACTGACAGCTAACTAATGCAAGAAATAGAGAATTATTAGAAAGAAATAATAGATCGATTTGATTTCTGACGTGGGTGCAGGTCTCCCAATTATGACTGTAGGTAAAAATGAAAAGTCTGCTGGAGGGTTCACATGCAGGTGCATTTGTTTGCAAAGGCTCTTCATTGGAGAGTACGTTGGCTTAGCCAGTGCTATCTTTTGAACACACAGAGCCTTTTTGCGTGCTAAGTCTACAGCTATTTTCTTTGGCAAGAGAGAGTCTACATGAGACCATTTGAGTTTTGTATCCAATTCTGTTCTTATCTGAGTCTACTTTTGAAGAAATAAACCTGTGAGACTACTCTAACAATTTTTAGTTTTTCTTTACCAGGTCCTTTTGGGAAGATAGGGTGGTTTTCACTGACTTTGGGCAACAATTATGAAAATAGATGTCTTCCAGGGACTAAAATTTGCTTTGGTATAATTAAAACTAGCCAGAAAGTACAGCTTTAATCATTTGTTTTTATTATCATTATACTCAGTTTATGAAGAAAATGATGACTGCCTATGTGGTCAACAGCCATGATTATTTTATTAGCTGTTGTCTGATATTGTCAGCCATATTGAAAGCTGTAGGAGGGTAAGGTACTTCAGACTAGGGGAGTAAGATGACAAGATAGAGAAAAGAGGTATATATATTTTACAGTTGGGAGATCATTTTTTGTAAGACATGTAATTTACATGGAATAATGGAAAAAAGGGACAAGTTTAGATATTCTCTGAATAAATTCAGTGAGTAATTACTTCACAAAAGATAAGTAATGAAGTTATATTACTAAGGCCATTATTGAGCAAGTATCAAGCAGAGAATGTTTACAAATGCTGTTAAAAAGAAGTACACCTTTATTAAATATCCATTGGCTCTTATTAATACATTTTAATTAAAAACATACATTATTCCTGGTACTTACAGTGGCACTAAGTGCATTTCAAATGGATTGACTGAAAGCCAGTCTTTCATTTAGGTTTTGGTTAAATCTTTCTAGACCTTGCTATGGCTGAATGGCTTCCCCGACCCTCCACCCTCAAATTCAGTGCTGAAGTTCTAACCTGCAGTACTTCAGATCATAACTGTACGTGGCAGTTAAAGTCTTTAAAGAGATATAAAATGAAGTCATCACGTGGACACTAATCTAATATGAGATTATAAGAAGAGAAAATTTGGACACAGACAAGCACAGAAGGCAGACCACGTGAAGACTCAGGAAGAAGACTGCTATTCGTAAGCCAGTGAGAGAAGCCTCAGAAGAATCCAACTTTATCAACACCTGGACTCAGATTTCTAACCTTCAGAACTATGAGAAAGTAAATTTCTGTTGTTTAAGCTTCCTACCTGGTCTGTGGAACTTTGTTATGGTACTCTTAGCAAACTAACAATTAATGTAAGGTCACATTCTGAGGTACTAGGGGTTAGGACATCAGTGTAACATTTTGAATGACAGAATTCAACCATAAGAAATTCTCTGTGATATAGTGAATTCCTTGTTAAGAAAGGGCATATTTGGGAAATTCAAATGATTAATTTGTATGTTTATTTTTAGTTTTCAAAGGAGTAGTTATAGTTTGTTTTGAAGATGTTGTTAGCCTGAATGAAATGGAAACAGGGTCTATGTATTTATCTGCATTTAATGAAATCATATTGCTCATGATCTGCTGTAGTGAAATATGTGCTGATAGCATTTTTGGGGACAAGAAAAGTTAGCTAGACATTCTTTAACTGCTTGTTGTTCTCATGGAATTAATGCCTTCCATTCATGTTTCTTTTAGTCCAATAGTCATCATTCTTTTGTCCAAATCATACCAGGGTATACCACTTTATTATAATAATTTATACGAAAGTAATTTAGATTTAAAATGCTCATTTCTCCTTTTTTGGGCATACCATGTACTTGCTTCCAGGTGTGATGGAAAATAGTTATACCCTTCTCTCAAACTTATTTTTCTTTCAGACTTAGGCCAACAATGACATAGTGGCTCTATCTACTAATAGCCCTTGGCTGATCTTCAAGCTGCTGCAGACCATGCCACTTGAGGAGAACTAAAAATGATTCTGATCCCTTGCAGAAGAAATCTTCATTAGCTGTATTTCTGCTAATTTCTAGATATTTGTCTCCCTGCTTTGCTATGAGCTACTTTAGGGCAGGGACTGAACTCTGTAGCAGAGTGCCTAACTCCTAACATTTATTGTATACGTATTATCTGCCTGTAACCTTGCTAAGGGAGTGACCTCTTACTTTATAAATGAGCAAATGGAGGCCTGTAGAGAGAATAAATAAAGAGTCAGATGCTAAACGGCAAGTGAATAGCAGATAGAATTTGAACCCAGGCAGTCTGGCTCCAGAGCTGGGGTCAGTTCAGCCCCATTCAGCAGGCAGAGATGGTCAACTATTTCTTAAATCCACCATATTTTTTTAGGGATACATTAAGCTCACTGTTTTCCTCTTATGATCAAGTTAGAATTAAGTGCCTCTGAGCTTTCAAAACTGTTTTCAGTTTTATTCGTTTCCCTCAAGGTGAAAACATTTGTTTTCTCTTTTTGTGTTAATAGATAACTAAGTTCCTTTTAGGAAAAAGAGAGAGATACAATTCCATTGCCTAAAACTTGACTTTACAAATTGTATTTGTTGAGCAGAACTTCAGAATTTTGTCTTTACTAGATAAAAAAGTCATACAGTAGTACTTTGTTATTGCAACAAGGTCACAGTGTGAGATCTAAGAAGAGGTTGATAATACTTTCTTCAACCTTCCTTCAGGCCTAAAGTAACCCGTGTTAGCACCTCACTGTCTACCCTTCCTTGCCCTTTCCTGAGCTCACAATAAGGCCAAACTATGTACACTTCTACAACTTACTGTTTCCATAGAGTGGAAATATCATTCTTTCAAGTTCATATAAAAAAGCTAGTATAATTTGCTATGGTATAAATTTACTTGTTCAACCTTTCCCTTACTGATGAACATTTAGTTTGTTTCCTGGGCCCCTGTCCTCTTTGCTGTTAAATGATAAGCTTATGAAAAAACGAATCTGTTGGTGAAAGTACATGAATATTTTAAAATAGATTTTGCCAGATTACATGATTCAAAACTTTACTAATTTAAACCTTAATAATATAGACTTTTTTTTTGAAGTAGTAAAATATTGCCTTTTTGATGTTAGAAGCTTTGTCTCTTTTGTTTTGTATGTTTAGAATAAAATTTGTAAGAAACTCAGATGATAAACTTAATAGATACATAAGGTATAAAAGAGGACCCTTAAATTTGCTTCCTGCCACAGAGTAGAAGGGAGTTTAGAAGGAAAGAGATCCATGTTATGCTTTATTATAGAGGTTGCATGATTTAGGCTGACTCATGACTTTGCATTTCTTCTAGACCAAAGCTCATGGTTCAGAAAATAGGAAGCGAAGAGCCTTCTTTACGGTCCCTGTGGAAAGACCCTTTTAATTTTTAAATGTTAACTAATTCTTCTTTGTACTTTCCTCCCTCCTTTCCCTCCCTTCCTCCCCGTCTTTCTTCCTTCCTGAGACCAAGTGTTCCTCTGTCACCCAGGCTGGAGTGCAGTGGCGCCACCTCCTGGGTTCAAGCTATTCTCCTGCCTCAGTCTCCCAAGTAGCTGGGATTACAGGCGCAGGCCATGACCTGGCTAATTTTTGTATATTTATAGAGATGGGGTTTTGCCATGTTGGCTAGGCTTGCTCTTATCTATTGAGAAGTTTCTACGAACTCTCTTTGGCAATTCTATAAGTGCAATTTTATGAGTACAATCTTAGAGACAATTTCACACAATGGACCTGCTGCCACATTCAGCATTCTCTGATTATCATAATGTTTGAACCCTTCAACTTCTGTTTTAGTTATTCCAAACACTGACATTCTGCCAGAAGTCTTGTGTGACTATTTATCTTTCTCTATTTCTAAGCAGTTCACATGTCAAAGAATACAGTATCTAAGACATTTGGCTGTCCAAGCCTTGCCATCTGGGTGAAAGAGTTTCTCTTAATCAATTTAATCAGACTCTATGTTTGTAGAGCTGACAAATCTGCAAATTCAGGATGGGACAGAAAGTTTATTCTAATTAATTCTTCTTAATTTGGTAACAATATAAATATTTAAATCAGTACTGCAGTGTGGCTTAGAGATGTCAGATGGAACTGAATTTGAAACTCAGCTTCACCTCATAGTGGTAGTGTAGACTTGTCCAAGTTAATTGTGTGCTCTAAGCTTCGGATTTTTTCTGTATAAAATTAGGCTAAAATACACATCTCTCAGGGTAATATGAAAAGTAAATCAAGTAGCAAACAAAAGAAAAAGTGATCAATTAAACTACATTGAAATTAAAAACTTCTGTGCATCAAACAATGCAGTAAATAGACAGAGAAAGCAATCCATGGAACTGGAAAAAATATTTGCAAATCACATATCTGATATAGTTAATAGTCAGAATATGTGAAGAACCTATATAATGCAAGAGCAAAGAGCAAAAACCAAATAAAAAATGGTAACAAACTTGAAGAGACATTTTTCTAATTAAGATATATATAAAAAGATGCTTTAATCACTAATCATATGGATATGTCAAAGCCATAAAAACTGCTGATATCACCTCATATCTACTGGTGATATCAGTGGTTTTAATGGCTTTAATTGGTATGGCTACTATAAAAAATACAAAACAAGATAACAGATTTGGCAAGATTTAGAGAAATTGGAACCCTTGTGCACTGTTGGTTGGCATATAAAATGGTGTAGCCACTGTGGGAAGCAGCATGGTGGTTCCCCAAAAAATTAAAATTAGAAGTACCTTATGATCCAGCAGTTCCACTTTGGTTATATCCACAAAACAGTTGAAAGCAAGATCTTGAAGAAATATTTGTACACTAATGTTCATAGCCATGTTACTCACAATAGCCAAAAAGATGGAAGCCATGCAAGTATTTATTGGTAGAGGAATGGATAAACAAAATGTGACCTACACATACAAAGTCTTGAAAGGGATACTAACATATTCTACAACATGGATGAATCTTGAGGACATTTTGCTAAGTGAAATAAACAGTCATAAAAAGACAAATACAGTGTCATTCTACTTATTCTACTTATAAGAGATACCTACAATAGTCAAATTCATGACGAGAGAAAGTAGAAGGGTGGTTATCAGGTGTTTAAGGAAAAGAGTAATGGAGACCTTTGGATTTGTGGATCCAGAGTTTCAGTTTTGCAAGATGAAAAGGGTTCTGTAGATGAATGGTGGTAATGATTATATGACAATATGGATTTATATGGGCCACTGAACTGTACACTTAAAAATGGTTAAGATAAAAAATTTTATGTTACAAGCATTTTATCACAATTTTAAAAAAGCAAATCAGGAAATGTATATATAGCACCTAGTGTGGTTCTCAATATATGTTAGTAACTACTAACGATAATAATAATATCCAGTCTTACTGGGCTAACACTTTTCTCTGGCCTGTTTTATCCTAAATTTCAGGATATATTTTAATTATGTAAATTTTCAGACAACAGAAAAGGTGAAATAGCATGATCAAAACCTTTATATTCTTAGCCAAGATTCAACAAAGTTAATATTTTGCCATATTGGATTATGATGGTTAATACTGAGTGTCAACTTGATTAGCTTGAAGTATGTAAAGTATTGATCCTGAGTGTGTCTGTGAGGGTGTTGCCAAAGGAGATTAACATTTGAGTCAGTGGGCTGGGGAAGGCAAACCCACACTTAATCTGGATGGGTACCATTTAATCAGCTGTCAGGGAATATAATAATCAGCAGGCAGAAAAATGTGAAAAGAAGAGAATGGCCTAGCCTCCCAGCCTACATCTTTCTCCCATGCTGGTTTGCCTTCAAACATCAGACTCCAGGTTCTTCAGTTCTGGGACTCAGACTGGCTCTCTTTGCTCCTCAGCTTGCAGAGAGCCTATTGTGGGACCTTGTGATCGTGTAAGTTAAAACTTAATATA